TTTTTCTACTTTCAATATTAAATAAAAAAACGAATGATCGAATGATACACGGATTCTAAAGCACCATACCATATTTCAGATATTAATAATTAATGAGATGGAAACTACATGGCAAACAGTTGTTACAATCAGATGGTGATACACGGATACTGTACACACTTTGATGTAACATAACTGCTCATATATGCCTACAGCAATATTACTGACGCACCAACATGCACACCTGTGCATCACATGCTTGATTACACTTACAATCTTCCTCTCTTTCCCCATCTCTCATTCTCTCTCTCTCTCTCTCACACACACACAACTGGACTGAAGATGAATACTTTGAACAACAAGTACTTTGAACAAACAATCTACACAATATGAATATTTGTACTTCATCAACTACATTTATCACATTTTGAAAACAATAAAAATGAGGATTACAATAAAAATATGAGGATTACAAATCAAATCAGTGTAGAAATAAAATATATTTTGCAGGGTTCCCCCCCACCAAAAAAAAGTCTAAATTTGTCATCATATACTCATGTCATTCCAAACCTGCTTGACTATCTATCTTCAGTGGAATATACATTAGTTTTTTTTTTTTTTTTCACAATACTCATAATACAGGTTTGGATCAACAAGAGGATGAGTAAATGATGACAGAGTTTTCATTTTTTGGTGAACTATCCTTTTGATGTTTAGTTGTTTTTATTATTATTATTATTATTAACAGACAAGAAAAAAATGTATAATCATTTTTGTTATTTAATTTGCAATAATATATGGAAATTATACAGCAATGTATATATGCTATGCAGCTATGTATAACTCCGGACAGCCAACACGAAAATTATTGTATGTAGTGATTTGTTTATATTAAACCTGTTCTAACTGATGCTTCTAAGACCATCACAAGTCAACATAACCTCATATCAGCTACCTGTAGCTAAATAATGTTATCTTGATGTCATATTAAAATCAGGAGAATTTGAATCAACATTTAATACATCACAGAGTCTTAAAAACACAAGTAAACAAGCTATATATTGTGCAAATGTATTTCATTGTAACAAAATGTGGAAATGTAATTTGTTACCAGTTTTATTCTAGCATTACTTTGTGAGTAACTATGAAAATTAATGATAAAATGATCTCTCTCTCTCTCTCTTAAAAAAACATCTCACAAACATCAAGACAGTGCAGACACAAAAACATCAAGATGACTGACACAATGTAACTTATAGGCTCATAAATTATTGGACAATAATTGGACGTTTGAGTCACAATTGTTTACAGTACAGCACATTGGATCGCTATCTCATCAACCGTTACTGGAGAGCCTTTGCAAGTACAAAGACACTCACACAGACAGACACTTAGAACAGAGTGCAACAGCCAGGTTTTAAAAAAATCCCATTCATTTTATCCATAAAGGCTGGAGTACACTAAATGACTTTTAAAATCAGAACAGATTTTAAAAGAACTGGGAATCATACACTTACCGACTTTGTAATAGTCACAGAGGAAAAAAACTGACCATCATACACTAAACGACTGAGGATCATACACCACCAGACTTTTAAGACAGACCTACTGTGAGCTATGAGGTTGTTAATCCATGGTATATGCTTTTGTTGAAGCAGTCAGTGCATATTATTTCAACATATATTTTAAATAATCGTGGAATTCCTGGTGAAACACTACATTATTCTTGATTCACATCTCCACCAATCAGAGAATCATGACAAGAAAACCGTCGTTTTCGTCACGTGATAAAGGTTTGTTGACGACGATATTTAGTCATAATTTTCGTTGACGAAAGCAACACTAGCTACAAGACCACTTTAGAGCCTGCCAACTGTGAATGATATAACAAAGTCAGTCTCCCTACGCTCTCAAACTTAAATATTTCCATAAGCTTATTTTTGCAATAAACCAAATATATTGCTTCCAAATATTTAATCAACATCTTTAAATTTCTTAAAATTCATCTTAAAATTCAATTGTCACAATGCTACATATTCATTCACTACAGAATTGTACCTTTGTCTTTTTGTCCAATTTTCAAATACTTTTTTTTTGCTTCAAATCAAAGTTTGTAATGCTGTGAATCACCTGGCCGGTTTGGTTCATGGCTTATCACTCTTTAAGGAAGACTTTTCAAAATCCCTAAGGGAAAAATACTTCTGGTGAAAAAGTGGTCTGTACACTCTATTAGGAATATTGAGAAATTAGTATGTACTGCATATCAAAAACATCTGTGAAACTAAAAGTTATCAAAGAATAATTTCTGTTCTTGCTTTGATCTAAACAAAAGTAATCCAGCTATATCTATACTAGACCTGTGTCGGGGTAAAAGCATGCCCTCTTTATTTTTCTCCTTTTTGTCTATTACCATACTGGACAGAAGTCTGTCAGTATGATCAATCAGCACCTTGAATACATACAGCCCAAAATGTCTCCTCACTCTGGACTACCATTATTCATCATTATTCATTAGTCATTTCACTGCCCCCCTCATCTTGTTTCATCCAACAGTTGCTGTACACATCTCTGCACCTCTCCACTTCACAGAAACAGCATCACAAAACCTGTCTTATCACTAGAGACCTCAATAGCGTTTTATGGACTTGTCTTTGATTGGATATCGGAAACGAATGAATCAGAGTCGTTGCGAGCCTGCAGAGCGTCAGCAAGCTCACGTTAAGCTGTCAGGTGAATTGTGTATGGAAGCAAGGGAAGTCTTGCAGGGATTTCCGTGGTAACTGTACAGGACCGCAGTTGTAGTTAGACTAAAATATCCGTGGTTACGGTAACCGTGGAGATGACTGAAAAGGAGGACTCGGCTTCCTGTGGAAACACATGGCTGATTAGAACAGGATGCCAGTGACTGCTACACTTTCTGTGTTAATGTTTCCTCTTAATATGCTAATATTTCCGGCTTCTTGTTAAAAAAACACTAACGTTTCTGTTTTTAGAACTTATTTATTGCCACAATGGATCATAGAAACACTATCTTCCTTTTATTCCCCTCCTCCTCCTCCTCCTCTTTCCATTGCTCCTTTACTACCACTCGACCTCAGCTATGTAACAATAAGGTGATGTTCACACAAAACACGTTTTTGCGTACTACTGAGCTGCTTGTTCATTGTTTTTCTATGTAAACATGCAATAGATGGATGCATGTGACCATTGCACTCACGTTTCTCGTCTTTTGCTGCATCACATGCAAGAAACACTGTTCTAGAAACTAATATCGGCAATACCGATATTATGGAGTAAAAAGTCTGATATCGATATATCGGCCGATATTCTTTATGTGTATATTATAGTACAGTACCACTCAAAAGTTTGGACACACTTCCCATTCGTGTGTCCAAACTTTTGACTGGTACTGTATATAAACAGAATATATATAGATAAACATATTTTGCAATGATCACTCAAATGTGGTGATCAAACACTTATAATGGCGTGGCAAAGATATGTAATGGAGGCAGGGTATTTAACAATTTAACAATCTGCAACAAACTATGCTGACTTAGGAAATGTGATGTGACCGATGTGATAAGCATGAGTGACATGGCAGTTTTAAGGGACAGGGTTAACGTTATATTGGATTTATATTGAAAAGGGAAACATATGGGGTCATTGTTTATTAACTTTACAGTGTTATATATTTCACAAACTAGTTAGCAACTTACTGTTAAGACAACGCTTGACTGAGTCGTGAAGAGACCTCCTTAGTGAAGTGAAAGGGTTGGCTGGTGTCACTACAGTGACCTGGGTCGCCAGTAGCAATGCGCTCTGCTGGACAAACTAAGTAATTGCACTATTTACAAGCATTTTATCTGCGTTATATGTTCTGTAAAAAAATGTTCATATCGGTGGCATATCTGCGGCATATACGCCGATGAAGATGTATCTGCGACAGTCTCATATCGGCCGATAAAATCGGCAAAATGATCAATCGTCGCTCTCTAGAAACATGGTGTTCAAGTTAATATGGAAGCCCATTTCAGCCACATAAGAAAAAATCATGCTTTGGTAAAACTTAATTAAGACATAAAAAGTCTTAAAAAACTTAATTTTGAAATACTAAGTCAAAATTATGATGTAAAAAAGTCATGAAATGAAAAGTAAAAATTGTCAACTGACTTATGTCAATTAGGAATTTTTCTTCATAATTTTAGCTAATATTAATTTTGACTATCTCATACTTACAACTTGGTAGGCAATCAGTTTGACATTTTATGTAAGTTTAGACTTTTGTCATAATTTAGACTGTATTTAGAGAAATTATGACTTAGTATGCAATAATTTTATGACTTGTGTCAATTTACTGTCACAATTGTGTATTTTTTTCTCATAATTATGACAGTATGTCATAATTTCAATTTTTTTATCTCATAATTGTGAAATTGTATGCCAAAGTTTTGACTTTTTATCTCAGAATTATGACAGTAAGTCATAATTTCACATTTCGATCTCAATTAAAACACAGTGTGTCAATTTACATTTTTTTATTTCATAATTATGGCATAGAATGTCATAATTTCACACTTTTTATCTCATAATTATGATTAACCAAAGCGGGATTGTTTTCTTATGTGGCAGAAATGGGCTTCCACAAGTTAAAAGAAGTGTAACTTTTAAAAAGCATGTCTCCAGACCTTGTGGGGTTTTTTTTTTTTATTCTACTGCTCAGTGTCCTGTTCATAAACACAAAAACGCGTCCTGTGTGAATGACCTGTAAAGTAGGCACCCAAGCACCCAAACTGTGTCTGAGGTCTAATGTAAATTAGCGTGGCCTTTATCAATAGTGAGCCAGTCTAACCGGTGGGGAGCCGAGGGAGAAAGGAGCAATGTAATCTCTTTCAAACACCAGCCTATGATCTCGTTAAAGACTAATTGATGTTCTGTGTTAACGAGCTTTACCTTAATTAGTCACATTTAAGTGAATGGGGGATACTGAGAGGGGAGTTGGATGCAGTTTTGGGCACGCTGGACTCATCAACACAGCTATGCGAATAAAAAATAAGAGAGAGGGAAGTAATCAGATGAAGAGACTGATACAGAAATGCTGAAGAGAGGGATTCAGCAAAAAAAGAGATGTTAAAAAAGCAGCAATACTCTAGAGTCTGAAAGCCCAAGGGAGGGAATGATAGAAAGGATAGAGAGCAAAGGTAAAAGAGAAGATAAAGAATCAATGCGCAAAGAGGAAGAAGAGAAAGAGGAAAAGAGTAATGCAAACGTTGATTCAAGCTGCTCTCATCTCTCTGTCTGAGCCCTCCAACCATGTTCAGTCTCAGATATTTAATTCCTCTTTTTTCGCTTTCTTCCTCTCCTTCATTTCCTCCTCTTGCTCCCTCGTTCTGTTTGCACTGTATTTCTCTTTTCACCATCCTTCACTGCATTTCTATGTCTGAGTCTTCTCCTCCCCATCCAGCTTCATCTGTATCCACCCCTCTGCTACATCCTCCTCTTCAGTGCATTATAGTTTTTCACCTGCTTTCATTCTGGCTACTCTTTCATTCTTTCACTCTTTTTCCTTCTTTATAAGTGCACTCCCCCTCCCTCTACAGTAAACCCTGGAAAGCAGCTGTAAGACCAACTGCTGGAGTGAAGCTATATTGATATGTTAACATTACTGTGCGCATTACAGTACTGCATTGTGTGTGTGTGTGTGTGTGTGTGTGTGTGTGCTACATCCTCCTCTTCAGTGCATTATAGTTTTTCACCTGCTTTCATTCTGGCTACTCTTTCATTCTTTCACTCTTTTTCCTTCTTTATAAGTGCACTCCCCCTCCCTCTACAGTAAACCCTGGAAAGCAGCTGTAAGACCAACTGCTGGAGTGAAGCTATATTGATATGTTAACATTACTGTGCGCATTACAGTACTGCATTGTGTGTGTGTGTGTGTGTGTGTGTGTGTGTGTGTGTGTGCAGTCCTTGGTGATTTGCGTGCCCAGTATCCACAACATGCCTTGTTCAATAAATGTGCTTTTTGGAGGTCATTATGTTTTCACACCTCTCTCTTTTTACCTGCAGGTCCGGATGTGTATCTATCTCACAAGATCTGAAAATCATCTCAAGACAGCAAATCAGTACAGCGTGAAGCTTATGAAAGGTCACAACATGCCGTTAGTGCACTAACACATATATATATGAACTAAAATGTATGATGTATGCCAGCACTGATCTAAGGCCTGTCTTGGTGGACATTAAGACCTCACATTCCCTCTGCAGGACTCCAGGCTCCATCATAACAGCTTTAATAAGTTTGGCGCAAAGAGGGAGTAAAGCTTATTACGGAATATGAAGCAGAAGCCCCACATAAATGATTTTACTTCATCTAAACGCCAACGGTTTGATTCATATCGCAGGAGGAAAACTGTGGGCCCATGACGGGCTCATATGAAATTAACATAATGAGCGCTGCTCATAAATCTCACTGATTTCTTACCCAACTATTAAAAAGCAAATGGCCAGACTTGGACAAATGACAGCAATTGGTGTATCGAGATATTTCAAGTCTCCTTCGTCTCATTTAAATGTTTATAAATACAAAAAAATAAATAAATAAATAGGCCTACTCGAAAATAAACACGCTATGCTATTTGAATAAGCTCTCATGGCACTGAAACAACAAGAGTATAAAACACACATACACTACGAGGCACTGATAACTGCTCAGGAAAATGGATAAATCCGCAGTTTACATACACAACTGACGAGCAGCCTGACAGCGCAGCACAGCGACGCGATCATTAGCCGCACCGAAGCAGCATTTTAAACGTGTTTCAATATTCAGTCGCTTCACAGTTGTTGTTTTTATGAAAATCACTAATTGTGCCCGCAGACTGCGCGTCTCAGTGCCGTTTCCAGGCGCGTGCGTCTTCGCGTGTTGCTGTAACCCCTGCGCGTACCTGTGCAGTGAGAGTGCAAGAAAAGTCTTAGTATGTGGCGTTTCACTGAGGAACAAGTGGCCTTATAAGCACTGGCATATGTGCGCGCGTGCAGCAATGACAGAAGGGTCAAACCCCCGCGCGCGCCGGCCGTATTCATCTCTCTATCGCGTGCCATCCATCTTTTCCCACATATAGCGCATCAAAGTCCCCTCACCCGGAGCCGGCAGTGCACTGTCAGTGCCATGTCTCCTTGCTCCACGCAGTCAAGTCCGTGCAGAAACACAGCAGTATTCATTAAACTGTTACTTACTGTGTTTTTCACGCGCCTGCCCACCCTCTCTCCTTTTGGCCCTCCATTCTCTTCACATCATTCCCCTCGATGTATCCGTTTTGCGGCTTCTCCGGGGAAAATACACCTAGAAATATATATCCTACATGTATTCAATTTTCGCGAGCTCTCTCTCTCCACCGATCTCCCGCTCCTTCCTCTCTCTCTCCCTCTGCTCTTGTGTTAAAATTCAGTATATGCGCCTCGTCACCTAGCAACCGTCAACCTCCCTCTTTCGCGCGCGCGCGCCGGCCGACTCTCTCTCCCGCGCTCTCTCCATCACTAGCGACACGTGTTGAATGCTAAACTTAGCGGTGTGGAATAATATTAATTACTGGGTGGCTCGAGGTCTCTTCCTCTCCTCTCTCTCAGCCCTCTTCCTCCCCATACACATACACACTCGCAAGCACACACCTCCTCCTTTTGCTCGCGCATATCATCATGCAATATAAATATTTACTAGAGCCACTCAGTCCTCTGTTGCATGCCCCCCCGCAGCCCCCTTCCGCGTCTCTCTCCCCCTCCCTCCATCCCGTATTGCGAATCAATGGTGCCGTACCGCCACTTCTGCTTCTCCGAGCAAAACGGAGAGGTGTGCGTCCGTCACGCTGTCCGTCCGTGGCACTAGACACGCGTGTATCCATACAGCAAAGATGGGGAAAAAATGCGCACCGACTGTGTGCGTGCGCGCGCGCGTTCTGGAGAGTGAGTTAGCCTTGCTTATGCCGGGATAATGATCGGTGGATGGAGAGAGTAGCTTGAGCTGCAGTACGCTATCAATGGAGCATCAACGTCTTAATAGATGCTTATACTTATTCACTTTGTTTAAGTGCTTTTATTTTATTTCTTTTTTTAAATAAATGCGCGTAATAAATTCTTTTTTATGTTTAAGCGTTTATTCTGCTGTGTGGTCCTGTAGATGTGGTGACTAGTCAATCGATTAATAAACCAATAACTCAATGGCCCGTGATTAATACTGACACTGTGTGTTTCATTTAGTGAGCTCAGATGATAAATGGTCAGTTGTTGTTTTTTTTACTGTACTGTATCTTACTGTATCCCAGCGTGACGCAGCGCTATTGATGAAATACCATTCAGCCATTAAAGCGCAGTCGTTTCCAACCCTGTTCCTGCAGGCCCCCACCCCAAAACTCTACACATTTTGGATGTCTCCCTCATCTAACATTCCCATTTAAAGTCATGGAGTACTCTACTAATGAGCTGACGAGTTTAATCAGCTGTGTTTGATTTGGGAGACATCCAAATTGAGTACTGTTGGGGGCCCTCCAGGAAAAGGGTTGGGAACCTGTGTTTTAAACCATAAACTACTGATACATTTCCTCATCTCCTTCAAGCAACATGTCCATGCAGGTGTATGTATCGGATATAACAGTCAAAACACTTAGTCCTTCAATGCCTCAGTGTAATACAATGCAAGTTCATTCAGATCTATTTCATACTTATTAGTTTTTATTATTAGGCCCTTAATAGAACAGAGGCCAGTGTTGAGTTAAAGGATAAATGAGTACAGTACTAGGTTACAACTTAATACACTACGGAATATTTTGAACAGTAAACTTAGTTGCAACCTATATGATCTAAATAATTATAGAACCACATATACTGTACATACATATATATATGTACATATATATATATATATATATATATATATACTTGCCAATTTAAATACTGTTTGCCAATATTCATTTAAACATTTGTGTACAAATTAGTTTATGATTATGTACCTTATTTTAAAAGAAATTTAATTTATTACGGTTTACAGTTACAGTTGTGGCAAAAGTATTTTGAAACATCAACCATAACCAAATTAACTCAAATTAAAAGTTTTTCAAAATTCTGAATACAAATTTTAAGATGGCTTATTGACAAACATTAATGTCATATTATGCAGTATTATATTACTTTATGGACAGACAAGTCTTCTTAAGTGTAGACAAGTATTCACTTAAAGGTATAGTACCCAAAAATGGAAATACTGTCATCATTTAAAAAAAGAAAGTCATGTGGATTTGCAACAATATGAAGGTGTCATGTTATTTCAAACCTGTTTGACTTACTTTCTTTTGTGGAATAGAAGATACTTTTAAAAAAATTGGAAACGGACCAGTTTTTAGTTCCACTATTTAGACAAAAAAATTAGACATTTCTCAAAAAATCTCTTTTTTTATGTTCCACAGAAACAGTACAAATGATGACAGAATTTTCAGTCTTTGTTGCGATGAAACAGAAATAGTGACAAATCCTTACGTCCCAATTTAAAGAGAGCGTTCACCCCAAAAAAATAACCTGTTCTTCTGTGGAAAACAAAAGAAGATATTTTGCAAAATGTTCAGTGAAAATCAATGGGTCAAACATTGTTTTGGACCCAGTCGGATATGCAGTTTAAAAAATAATAAACAAAAAATAAAAGTCAAGTCACCTTTATTTATATAGCGCTTTATACAATACAGATTGTGTCAAAGTAGCTTTACAGTTTCAAACAGGAAAATAGTTTGTCAATAAAGCAAGTCAAGAGGACAATAACAAACAGTCAATTTTTCAGTTAACTTCAGTTCATTGAAGATTCAGTGATGTCATCATCCAGTTCAGCTCATTTCCAATAGTGTCTGTGCAATCAAGTCCACAATATTGCCAGAAATTAAGTGTCCCCAACTAAGCAAGCCAAAGGTGACAGTGGCAGGGAACTAAAACTCCATCGGTGACAGAAATGGAGAAAAAAACCTTGGGAGAAACCAGGCTCAGTCGGGGGGCCAGTTCTCCTCTGGCCAGACAAAACCAGCATGGTTTAGGAAAGAAAAGGAAAAGAAATTTGGTGAACTGTCCATTTAGGCCATTTAAATAGGCTGGTGCAACCTACCCAATCACCACAATGATTTTTGTGAGAAAGCAAGGGGACCAGAGTTCTAGTTGTCAGGTTGCACATACTCACATATCATTCATCAGTCTGATTCCCATTGGGCAGCAACAGATGTCAGTTGAATGGTTTGCCACATAAACTGTCAAAGCGAATGAGTGTGATTTTGAAGTGAAGGCATGTTAACAAGTTTCATTCGGTGGAATTTATGTTCACACCCTTTGCACCCTCTCTCTCGCTCTCTCTCTTTGTATATGTGTCCTGTTGTTTGAGTTATAGCTCAGAGTACAACAGATGAGTAAACATTGATAGTCACAAGTAAATCCCATCAAATCAGATTGGGGAATGCAAAGGCTATGCTCCCTCCTGCCCTCGCTCTCGATTCCTCTTTTTCTCTCTCTGTCGGCGTTTCTTTCATTCTCTCTTCGTCTACTCACCAAGATTGATTAGAGTTGATAAAGAAAAATCCCATTTAATCAAGTAAATAGTAGTTGGAGGAATCGAGCAGCAGCCCCAGAGGCACACGCAGGGCCTTATAGGAATCATACTGAAGGCTCGTACAGGCCTTGGGATAATAATACGGACTATGACATGGCATCTGGCATTAGTGTCGGCTAAAACAAGCAGACACGAGGGAGAAGTGCAGAGGAAGCTAATAGGAGAACTAAAGAGATAGACTGCCTGAGGGAAGATGGAGAGAGTGAGAGCCCTATTCAGCAGTGCCACACAGACTTTCTTTTCGCACTGGGAGACCTCGACGACGATTGAATTTTTTCTCGGTCCAAGCTGTAATAGAAAATAACCAAGTACTTTTGCGCAATAGCTGTCAGCGACCTTCTGAGAAGAATAGGGCTAATCCTTTACGGTGCCCTCGCAGAACATCTCCATTCAAATCCACTACATTTAATTTCTTGAATCAATTTTCTTCCTCTTAAAGATTTTTTTTTTCCTTCTAGTGAAACTGAACCCTGTTTCTGACTGGGCTTGTGTTAAATGTAGACTCGAAATTAAGCTTTCAGCAAAGAAAAAAAAGCATACAGTATGTCACATTCATTTTCATGGGCGATAAAATGATGGCCATTGTAATCCTGAGCTAATTAACGTAACAAGCACAAAGGTAGATGACCGTTTTCAAGTATCTGCATTTGTGAATATTTAAGACTTTGTATGAATAATTCTTTTTTTTAAGGCTCCTCGCTTGTGTTTGTACAGTACAGATGGAGGCTTCAGACAGAGCTGATGGAATCCATGAGAGCCTTCAGTCCCTGAGGTCATTTCTCTGATCACTTATAATTCCATTTAAACAGTATTACTCTCACCGAACAGCTTCATCCACGGCGAATGATGGCATGATGCCACATGTTTCAAGACCCCTCTTTCTCTTTCTCGAGTATTCGACAGGGTTGGCTAGAGATTCGATGAGAAGATTGAAAAGCCCTTCATCATCCAGAACACCGGGGCTTTGGGCTTTATCCCAGTGTGTGCTAAGATCTCAGATATATCAGTTAACAGGCCCAACCAATCAGTGCTCTCAGCTGGCTAAAGATGCAGCACTCCAGTCATTATGAAGTGTACATTGTTCTGGTATTCAGGGTTCGGTACTAGTTAAGCTCAATCCACAGCATTTGTGGCATGATGCTGATTACCACAAAAATTAATTTCCACTTGTCCCACCTTTTCTTTAAAATACAAATCTGGCTTACAATGGAAGTGAATGAGGCCAATGTGTAAACATTAAAATACCCACAGTCAGTGGCAATAGCCTCGCGGGCAGCGTGCCGACATAGGGCCATTGTGCTTTGGGCATCCCGAGTTTGAGTCCCGGATCGCAGACCTTTCCTGATCCCGCCCCCCTCTCTCTTTCCCACTTTCCTTCCAGTCAACGCCAAAAATAAATCTTAAAAATATATATATATATATATTAAAATACCCACTGTTTCAAAAACAGGAACAGAACAATATGTGACCCTGGACCACAAAACCAGTCATAAGTAGCACGAGTATATTTGTAGCAATAGTCAAAAATACATTGTATGGGTCAAAATAATCGATTTTTCTTAAATGCCAAAAATCATTAGGATATTAAATAAAGTTCATGTTCCGTGAAGATATTTTGTCAATTTCCTACCATAAATATATCAAAACTTCATTTTTTGATATATGCATTGCTAAGAACTTCATTTGGACAACTTTAAAGGTGATTTTCTCGATATTTAAATTTTTTGCTCCCTCCGATTTCAGATATTCAAATAATTGTATCTCAACCAAATATTGTCCTATCCTAATATACCATACATCAATGGAAAGCTTGTTTATTCAGCTTTCAGATGATGTATAAATCTCAGCTTCTAAAAAAAATGAAAATGAAAAAAATGTTTTGTGGTCCAGGTTCACATATGTGTGTTAATATAATTTTAGTGTGTGTTGAGGGGGGATGAGTTAATTGAGCTTAACTTGCATTTAACCCAGAAGACAGGTTCATCTGCATTCGTTTGCAACTCCTGCAACTCCTGCAACTCCTGCATCTCAAAATCCAATCAACATACGAACCAATGCATAGAACAAAGTGCCCGCCCTGCATTTCAAAAGATCAGTAGCTACTAAAAAAAAAACACGCCTGGCCACTCAAGATGCCGTTCCACAGTTCTAAACTATGATTGGTCAATTGTGAGGTAGACCTGCCAAAAAAAAAAAAAAAAACCTGCTTAGCCACAATATATTGGAAAGGGGAGAAATTACAGTTCTGGATGTTCATTTGTATTCACACAGATGTGTAAGTACAACAAAGAAAAAAGTTACGTGTCAAACAGGTTTGTTTTTTAATGGCAATCCAGTGCTGGAATGCAGACAAACATGGTCCTCCCAATAAACATTGGCAGCAATTTTGGTATTTTACAGTAAAACAAACTGAAAATAGACCAATACGCCCAGACTGACTGTGTCTTGCTGATCTTGGATCTATTAATCAATCCTTTGCCCTACAAAATCCCAAGATCGAGAGCAGCAGATGTGGAGACGTTGTAGTGTCATAGGTTTAAAAAATACATTATAAATAAAGATCAAAAATATCTGCACACTCCACTGACACAGCTGTTCAACCAGCTCTCACAGATTCATTCAGAACACAGCAGGATAGTTTGTGTTCAGTTCTCCTTCGTTCCCCCTCAGTTTTCTTTTTCATGGTTTCCATTCTACACTAATATCAGCTACTGCGCACAGGCAACTGGCATATCTGTACTGAAAATAAGACATATCGACTCTGCCACTGCCTACAAGATGACAGGGTTTAGTTTAGCCTGATCTGGTTAAGCTGATAAAACAACTGAACAGAACAGAAACCAAAAAACATTACCATTCGCTCAGAAGCTGAGCCGGTTCCTTTTGTTTGAGGATTGAAGGTGTAAAACTATTGTGCTTTGAGAAGACAATAGTTATGCCAAGAAAAGAAAACAGGGCAGTTCACAGTGAAACCAAAATCACCAGAGCAGAAAACTATTATGCATTGCTGAGGGCATTCAAATTACAAATGGGGGCTGGATCTGCTGAGTGAGAGTATGGGGGAGATGAGGAATTTCATAGACTTCCTCCTGTAATGCTTAATTACCTCTCTCCTGTATTTGAGGTAATCTTTAATCAGATGAGCACCATGGACTCCAAGGAGGTGTGTGAGTGCACTGCAACCACCTCTGATAAAATTCACACACAGGTTTGTTTTTCCATCATAGTGTGGAATTTCTATAGACTTGTACTGTTTTTATGCTGAGCTAATGATATTTCTGATTCCCTATCCACTACCTCTAAACCAAACCCTCAACTTTTATACCATTCTCAAGAAAAAATAAATAAATGTATTGAGTCTAAAAAGTCGTGTGGAATAAGCATCAAGTAAAAAGTAATACAACTTTGTCCTTACGTCACAAATATATGGGAGTGTACACAAACATTTTTACATTTATTTTTCAACACAAAAAGTATCTTTAAATATTATATTTATAAATATCATTGTTTTTTTAGGAGTCACACCACATGACACTTTACAAACTGAGCTACCTTGTCTTGTCATTTAAAGGTCAAATTATCTGGTATTTTAAGAGAATTATTGACCTTGACAATTATGTCCTCTATATTATTTCCTGTTTTATTTTTTCATGCATGTTTTTACATGTCAGTTGCACCACATGACTTCGATTATGCAGACAAATCTATTTCAAATAATAAGCAGTGAAGCGGTTTCTTGAGAAAAAAAATTATCATGCCAAATTACCTTCTTTTTACTTTCAAATCTAGTTCTTTTAATATAGTTTTCTTAATTACAATATCATTAAAGTTGTACCACACTGACATTTATGACTATGTCATTTCATGCAATCCTTTACATTTTTAGATTTTTTCTTTAAGACACCATTTAGTATCAAATGTTTGGCGTCTGTAAGATTTTTTAAAAGTTCTTGAAAGAAGTATCTTATGTAAACAACGACTACATTTATTTGATCAAAAAATACAGTAAAAACACTAATATTGAGAAATATTATTACAATTTAAAATAACCACTTTCTACTTTAAAATATTTTATGTTGTAATTTATTCCTATGATTTTAAAGCTGAATTTTCAATAGCCATTAATCCAGTCCTTAGTGTCACATGACCCATCAGAAACATGAAATAAACATTTCTTATTAATATTAACGATGAAGACAGTTGGGCTGCTTATTTTTATTTTTTTGGAAACATTTTTTCACGATTCTTTGATGAATAGAAAGTTAAAAAAGAACAGGATTATTTGAAATAGAAATATTTTCTGACAATATAAAAGTCTTTACTGTCAGTACTTTACTATCAGTTTAATTCATCCTTGCTGAATAAAAGTATTAATTTCATTCCAAAAACAAATCTTGTTGACTTTGGAACAGAAGTGTAAACCTCTCACACGCACACAAACTTTCTGTCTGGCAGAAAGGACACTACAGACTACAGGTCAGTGCATTTTGTATTGTAAACAGAGTGTGGTTGTTTAATCTGGGGCAAACTGAAGTTATACTGATATATAAAGAGAGCAGGACAAAAACCAGAGAGAGAAAATGAAACTAGGACTGTGAGTACAATAGATGAAAAAGATGGAGAGCTGGTATTGTGCTGGAAAATCAACAGAGGAAAGTAAAGTCAGGTAGAGGATGGAAGGGGTGCAATGAGTGAGGGAGGAGAGAAAGAATAAAGAGAAGCACACAAGAAAAGAATGCACACAGAACAGAGAAGAGGGGAGGGAAGAGGGAGGGGCTAAGAACATGGCAAGGTTACACATGAAAACTGCAGTCTGTTTTCTTCTTTGACACTCTACTCTACTTCAGAAGTAGAGACAGGAAGCTTCATTTTTGCTCTTATCTTTGCAATATCAGATTAAAACATAAATTAAAAACAGAACGGAAGAACTGAATGCTAAGGAAGCGAGTACATTCATGATACAGAGAGCCAGGAAAGAAGGAAAGACAGACAAAAGACAGAGAGACTATGAGAACAATCAAATAAACACAGCGGCTACACATTGGCAGAGTTTACAGGACCAGCTTTGACATCAGTAAAGTGAGAGAGGAAGAGGGGTGCAACACGGCTTTACGGAAACCGCTTGACAGTTTCATACGCTGACACAGTTTGAAAATAGGAAACAGACGGTTAGGAGAAACAGAAAAAAAAGAAAGACAAAAGGATAAAACAAAGCCCATTTAAACCAAACCATGTTGATGAAAGAATACCGGATATGCATGCCGCTCACTGTCGATGAGGTAAGTTTGTGACTTTTAACATGTTTGGCAGTGCGTCCATATGTTTGTGTGTACAGCAGCTGTCCCTATGATTAGTGTGTATGAAAGTAAACCTTAAAAAGATTTTTATTCCACTCCGTTTATGCAGATGAAACCTTAATGTAGTTCTGTGTATGTCTGTGGGTTGTATTACATAATCTCTCCATTTCAGCCGTTTTCTTTACCTAAACGGGTCTGACCAGTTATGTCCTTTCATTTTGAAGGCAGGAGTGAGTTATTCACCTCAAGGCTAGGAACAAAACACAAAGGCCTTTAACCACAAACAGCTTGGGATTTCTACAAGGGGGTCAGGGATTGTTTAGTCTATGTTTTACCTTCGAGTAGCCGACTTGTGCTCGTTCAGATCAAACAAGTCCACACAAGCACACCTGACATAAAGTCTGCCTCAGAATTCGTCTATGGTCTACGTCAGCACTACACCGCATAGTTTCCAGACAGGAGCACCACCCCCTTTTTCTGGAGAAGCTCTGTTGTGCGTACAGACAGCATTTTTCTCCAAGCCTCACAAGGTCTGTCTGTCGTCATCATTGTGACAATGATTGTTGGAGTGAGTTTTCACATTAACAGATTACAAAAGAATTAGTCCTCAGAAAAACAGCGGGAACCTTGTCAGTGCTGCCAACACAGTTTTTCAGGAGAATATGCAGGAAAAATTATGTATCCAGAACACTTTAGTCTTTAGAGAACAAAACAAAAACAAAACAAAACATATGGCAGATGAGAGATCAAACACTCTATGACAAAGAGTGACGTTTAAGTGGAAGGGTTTGGTATTTATGGGAGTTTTAAACTCATGAAGTTCATAACTTTGTTAATAATCCTTTTTAAATATGTAAATTAAATATGTTTTTTTTATATATATATATATATCTTTGTTAATAATCCTTTTTAAATATGTAAATTAAATATGTTTTTTTTATATATATATATATTATTATATATATTTTTATAATATTTTACATTTATGTATATTTTAATATTATACATTAATACTGTATTTCATTTCACGGATCATGGAAAACATTCTCAAAAGCTTCAAAATCATGCCATTTTTTATACTGTTAATATTGCTTTTTATTTTCAGAAAAAAATTGCCAATAAATTTTTGCATTTTCATGTTAGCACATATCATAACATACAACAAAATGTTATATTACATTAATAATCAAATCCTTATAGCAAAACAGCACATATAGAAATTTTATAAAATTTCATTTAAATATTTAATTTATAGATGTTATATTTATATATTACATTTCATGAATCATTATGGAAGAACACAATTTCCTATATATACTATTTGGCTTAATTTGACAGCATTGAAAAATATGCCTATTATATATTATATTTTATACATATAAGGGAATAAATTGTCATAATTAGTCAAAAACAATGATGTAAATATTTATGGTTTGTCTCAAAACTTACACTGGATAAATTTCTTTGAATTCTGAGAATTCAACTTCCTGTCATTCCGATTTCAATTCTAATTTAACATTCATATGGCCAATTCAATTCACATTTCAGCTCATGAGCTGAAAGTGAGTCATTTCTTAGAATTTTGCTCAACCCAGCTATAAAACAAGTCCAAAAAAAAAAAGATAAATGAAACATATAAGGTCACAAACAGAGGTCAGCAATTTCTTTCTCTCTTCCTAAGTACAAGATCGGCCAGTTATACATGATCAGCAAGCACAGCAGTGAGCAAAGCGGGGGAGGCGAAGGGGTAGAGGTCGTCCGTAATGAACCCTGCACAGACCCCAAACACGGAGCCGGACAGATCACAGAGAAACGCATCTACCTCAACAGGTGAGATCACACACACACACACACACACAAACACACACACACATGCACGCATAAGCAATCCTGTTTCTTTCATGGTTTACATCACCCACCTGCCAACGTGCCAGCGATCAGCTATTATTGATTACTGCAGCTAACACCTTTACGCATGCAGCAGAGCTCCATCCATCGCTCACTTTCCCTCCAAAAACACCTTCTCTCTTCCTGTCGGGCTTCAAGCAGAATTACACATCAACAGAAGATCACGTACACATTCAGTCTGATATCATCCCACGCCGTGAACATGCACACACACTTATAGTAATTGCCTGTTTTCTTGTATTCTTTACACTCTCGCCCTACAAGGACAAAACACACACACACACACACACACACACACACACACACACACACTGTCATTAGATGCTGTTGTGAATATGAATTACTGCACCTCTAGCAGTAAAACAATTTTTTCAAGCCATTAATGTGTTAGCAAAGACCAAAAGGGCAGAGCATTAGTTTCTTATGGTCAAATAAATCTTATCGTGGAGCATGTGAGTCTAATTCAAATGCTGATATTACCGCAGACGAGATCATTATATGCTGTTTACAAGTACATCACGCTGAACTGCTGCATTGTAATTATGAATAATTTAACTTGTATTGTCAAGATACAAGCGTCCAAGGATTGTAATGTAATGGCAGATGTTTGGTGGGAATGTGCTGTTCCGTGGGACACACTGTGGAAATGTCTGTCACTTCAGGAATGGGAAAGAGAGAGTGTGAGAACGCGTGGCGCTCGACACAACTGGCTGACCGTGAATGATCTACTACTTCTCTTCTCCACCCGTCTCTTCTCATCCTCTGTCCATCCATCCATCACTCAAGTCCTCAGGCTGTAAATCTCAAGCGCTGTCTGTGCTGCCTTATCTTACAGTGCTGAGTTCATTATCTCTCTCGCTCTCGCTCTCTCTGTAGTGGGGTTTCTTGGACTCTGACTGTGTTTTTGTAAGGGACAGATGGCACCAGACACCTCTGGAAGTGAGCGTTATAGCTATTGTGATGGCGGTTTGACATCTTAACCTAAAACACAAGCACATATGCACCTCTTCAGTAGCCCAAAAAAGTATCTGGACACTTTGGACAAACTTTAAATGACTGGCATTACACAAGATACAAAATATCAAAACAAACAGCATCTGCAAACAAATAATGCAATTTTCTCAGCGCTTTTTTTCAACTTGTTAACCACTGAACAATATATACCACAATTCATTTCTTTTTTTAAGACGTCTCTTACGCTCAACAAGGCATTCATTTGATTAATATACAGTAAAAACAGTAATATTGCAAAATTTTAATCCATTTTAATATATTTTAAAATGTAATTAATTCCTGTGATGGTACAGCTGATTTTTCAGCAGCCATTATTCCAGTATTCAGTGTCACATGATCCTTTAGAAATCATTCTAATATGCTGATTTGGTGCTTGAGAAACATTTCTTATTATTATCATTATTATATTATTATTATGTTGAAATTTAAAAAAAAATTTGAAAAAATGTTTTCACGATTCTCTGATTCTCTTTAATGGAAAGAACATTATGTAACATTTGATAACTTTTGATTGATTTTATGCATTCTTGCTGAATAAAAGTATTAATTTCTTTACAAAGAAATCTTACTGACCCCAAACTTTGGAGTGATGTTGTATATATTGTTTTGTCATTTAAAATCTAAAAGTTTGTCCTGTCACTGTCATAAAGCAATATACAGTTGTGGTCAAAATTTTACATACACTTTGCAGTATCTGCAAAATGTTCATTATTTTACCAAAATAAGAGGGATCATTCAAAAATGTATGTTATTTTTTATTTAGTACTGGCCTGAATAAGATATTTCACATAAAAGACGTTTACATATAGTCCACAATAGAAAATAATGGTTGAATTTATAAAAATTACCCCTTTCAAAAGTTTACATATGTTATGATTGATACCTAATACTGTGTTGTTACCAGGATGATCCACAGCTGGGTTTTTTTTTGTTTTGTTTTGTGATAGTTGTTCATGAGTCATTTGTTTGTCCTGAACTGTTAAACTGCCCACTGTTCTTCAGAAAAAATCCTTCAGGTCTCACAAATTCTTTGGTTTTCCAGCATTTATTTTGTTTTTGTTTTTTTGCGTATTTGAACCCTTTCCAACAATGAATATATGACTTTGAGATCCATCATTTTTTTACACTGAGGACAACTGAGGGAATCATACGCAACTATTACAAAAGGTTCAAATGCTCACTGATGCTCCAGAAGGAAACATGATGCATTAAGAGAAATTAAAACTTTTGAACAGAATAAAAATGTGTAAATTTTTCGTATTTTTCCTAAATATCATATTTTTTCATTTAGTGCTTCCCTTCAGAAACTACAGAAGATACTTACATGTTTCCCAGAAGACAAAATAAATTAAATTTACCCTGATCAATTTACTCTTAGTGACGTGAAGCCAAGTATGGTGTCCCATACTCGTAATTTGTGCTTAGCATTTAACCCATCCAAGTGCACACACACAGCAGTGAGTAGTGAGCACACACACACACCATGAACACACACCTGGAGCAAAGGGCAGCCATTTTCTGCTGCGGCGCCCGGGGAGCAGTTGGGGGTTTGGTGCCTTGCTCAAGGGTCTCACCTCAGTGGAAGAGAGCGCTGTACATTCACTCCCCCCACCTACAATCCCTGCCGGTACTGAGACTCGAACCTGCAACCTTTGGGTTACACGTAAGACTCTAACCATTAGGCCACGACTGCTCCCTACAATGCGTCGTGTTTCCTTCTGGAGCATCAGTGAGCATTTTTACCACAACTGCATATTATTTATAATCTTAGTATGTTAATGTTTTAACACTTTACATCAAGGTTTAATTTGTTAAAATTAGTTAATACATTAGGTATCAATATTTTACAGCATTTCTTAATCTAGGTTTAAGTTAACTTTTAAATATACAATTATACACTGTTAATTCATATTTCTTCATAATACACTAATGTTAATTCATACAAACTGAAATGCTGAAAATTAATATTACAAATTAACATCAATCAAGATAATGTAGAAATTAACATTAATCTAGATTAATAAATGCTGTAAAAGTATCGTTCATTGTTAGTTCATGATACCAGTTGTAGAGTAAATCATGAACTAATGGTAATAAAATGAACATTATTTATAACACAAATCTTTAAGTATAACAGAAGTGTCCAAATACACTGTGCATAGAGAAATGTGACCTGGACCCCAAAACCAGTCATAAGGGTCAATTTTTCGATATTGAGATTTATACATCATCTGAAAGCTGAATAAATAAGCTTTCCATTGATGTATGATCTTTGTTGGGATAGGACAATATTTGGCCGAGATACAACTATTTGAAAATCTGGAATCTGAGGGTGCAAAAAAATCTAAATATTGAGAAAATAGCCTTTAAATTTGTCCAAATGAAGTTCTTAGCAATGCATATTACTAATCAAAAATTAAGTTTTAATATATTTACAGTAGGAAATTTACAAAATATCTTCATGGAACATGACCTTTACTTAATATCCTAATGATTTTTGGCATAAAAGAAAAATCAATAATTTTGACCTATACAATGTATTTTTGGCTATTGCTACAAATATACCCCAGCGACTTAAGACTGGTTTTGTGGTCCAGGGTCACAAATATAAAACGCTCCACTAGGCTTTTAAACTACTAAGAATTTTTTTGTCCACCAACTTCACCAGAAAGATTTCGATGGATGATCAATTTTAACAGTTTTCCTTGTGATCACAAGCTAAGTTCAACTGTTAAACTGCATGGTGCATTACTGCATTATGCTAGCTAAATTAGCACTAACTAGCATATACCCACATGGAAATTAATGTTGGATTAAGCCCAGGCTGTTTATGTCTTTGTTTAATATGTCTCTTGTGTCATAGCATGTTCTCATGTTTCCCTTTTTGTCTCTGTTCAGCAAACTGCCAACCTGGATAAGAAAGTTTGTTCCCATGGCTTTTTATATCACAGAAACTGCCTGGAACTTCTACCCTTACACCATAACAGGTCAGTTTAAGCATTATGTTATAATAAATACACCAGTGTTTGAATATTAACGTACCATCACATGGCACGTACATCCATCTTGTGTGTTCAATGCACCAGTAACCAGCTGTGACCTAACACCATATTTCTCTTCTGCATTCCTCTCTCCTTCTCCGTCCACTGGTGTTTTACTATAGAGTACACGGTAAGTATTCTCACATGTCAGCTCAAACTCATGCAGTTTGCTCTGGGCTCACTGGCCCACTGAGCATACAACATAATCACTTCACTCTCTCTCCTTCTCATTTTTCCTCTCTCTCATATCTTTACTCCTTCCAAAAGTGTTCCTTCCTACCGAGGTTCCATGTCAAGATTGAGACGAGCTTTGAGAATGACAACGGTTGCAGTGAAAATGTGAGTGAGAGATGGCAACACACATGCATACACACACTCGCACACAGTGTGTGTTCTTACAGGAGATAATCCTCTTAAAGGAGGACGATTCATCAGCAGCACACGTAGCTTCCGTGTCCTTGTAAACTGCCATTGTGCTTGTGTCTGTCTCTGAAGCACTCAGTAGTAACAGTCAGGCAAGATCCAAACACTCCACCTTCCTCCTGTGACATACGACACCAATGCTTTTAAAGCAAGGCCTCAAACTGCTGGTATAGGTCATTTTGTTCAGACGTGTAGTAAAACTAGGTCTCTTGTAACACAGCATCACACACGGCGGGCTAGAGTGAGCGGCGGCCGGCGGCTAGAGTGAGCGGAGGCGGGTGAGCTTGAGAAAGGCGCAGCCGGCGGATTCGACGAAGGAGCATCTGGTGGGCTTGCGGCAACCACATGTGACGACCCCAGGCTGGACTCCGCTTCGTCCACGGTGAAAGCCGAAAGTTGATGTATTTCCTCAGCGACCAGCACGGATCAGCTCCAGGCATGACGAAGCGATATCGTCCTCTTTTGGAAGGCCAAACAAAGTAGTTTCGCTTTCACAACGAAACACACAGTGCCTTCACGACGTGGCTGCGGCGGCAACAACAATACTACAGAGAGAATAAAAGTTATGCCTTCTTTCTTTGCGTGAACATTTAGACATGTGGGGGCGTGTTAGAACGAGCCGTTTTAGGTAGGCGTGGTTGACTTAACTTTTATAAAGAATATCTCTTTAGATTTGAGACTTTAGTCTTTGCAACTTTACAGATCTTCTTTATGCACCAAGAGCTTGTAACACTTCAAAAAAAAATTTAAATCGCATCATATGACCCCTTTAAATCAACAGAGCAGTTTAAACCAGAACTCACTGTGATGTGCCTTCAGTTAATGAATATCACATTTTTATTGTTGGTGCTCAGTGCAGCTACACTACCATTCAGTAGATTGGGGACACAACTTCAAACCCCATCCACCACAACCACAATCAGCAAGAACACATTAAATTGCTCAAAAGTGACAGTAAAGACTTTTACATTGTTAAAAATTTGAAATAAATACTTAAAGAATCCTGAAAAAAAAATTATCACATGCAGTTCCCACAAAAAAATATTAAGCAGCACACTGTACATAATGCTAATTCTTTCAACATTAATAACAATATTAAATATTTCTTGAGCAGCAAATCAGCATATTAGAATGATTTCTGAAGGCTGAAAACTGGAGTAATGACTGCTGAAATTTCAGTTTTGCGATCACAGGAATATATTACATTTATACATTTTTTTCATTTTTAATTGTAATAATACTTCAAAGTATAACTGTTTTTACTGTGTTTTTGATCAATTAAATGCAGTCTTAGTGAGCATAAGAAACTTCTTTCAAAAACGGCAATTTATTTTGCCCATCTGAAACAAAATTATTTCATTAACAAGTATGGATGATTTTTATTTATGGTCTTAATATCATATATATATAGGGATGCAAAATATATTGGTACCAATATCGGATAATGGACAATATTAGAGATATAGTTAGATATTAGAGTAGACAAGTTAATTTCTCAATTTTATACATTTAGATTAAATTTTTACACTCCATGTTATTCTTTAAAAACACAAATAATTTAACAATTAAAAACACAAATGTAACATTTAACACAACACTGTAATCTAGGAAATTTAAAAAATATGAATATCCATTTTTCATACTGTACAATATTATTTTGTTAATGAATTTAGCATTTAAATTATTTTAGTTTTAAGTCTTTTATATTGTATTCATTTTGACAAAAAAAAACTGCATAATTTTAATATCGGCCATAAGCCACTACCATTAAAATAATCTTCATCTTATCAGTACCAGCCAGACTTTTAAAACTGTGCATCTATAAATAAATATCTTCTTACCATGACATCAAATGTTTCTGGTTTCTTAATGGGGAAAATTGCAGTTCTCAGGAAATACAATCTCATGAGTTAGCTCCAAAGTCTTTCCATACATCAATAACTATAAAAGTGCACTAATAACTGCATAAGTTTTAGATTGTAAAAACATTTTTTCATCTGTCCTTCAGGTAATGAGATACTCCTACTTTAAAGTGAGCAAACAGACCATTTATTTAGCCGTGTTGTTATTCAGAGTTTATACTTAGTACTTATTGTGATGAGTTGAGTTATTACTGGTTTGCGGTGTGTTTGTTTGCATGCAGCGAAAGAAAGAGAGAGAGGCAGTTCTCTGTTATTAAGAAATGAAAAATACGACTTAAACAAGATCCAACTTGCCACAAAGCGGCTCAAAGATTTACGAGCAAGTCTGCCTGTGAAAAAGAAAGTGAGAGGGAGATGGCGGGAGAGTTTTGTTATTGATACTTTGTAATTGATACAATTTCCAACTGACCCAACTTTCTCTCCACATACAACAGCAGACACACCGTTATTCACATACACACTTTACACTTAAATGTATACTACATTCTAAGTAAAAGAACATAAAAAAACAGGTACAAAAACTTTCACTGGGGCGGTACCCTTTCAAAAGTTACTAACATGCAGTGTTGGGGAGTAACTAGTTACATGTAACGGCGTTAGTGTAAATGTTTGAAAATGATTAACAGTTGAAAACATTCATTAGAAATGTAGAAAAGTAATCAAAAAGTAATCAAAAGTAATCAGTTACATTACTTTAATAAAGTAATTTAAAAAGTTACACTACTATTACATTTTAAATAGGGTAACTTGTAATCTGTAACCTATTACATTTTCAAAGTAACCTTCCCAACACTGCTAACATGTACCTTTAAGGTACTAATATGCACGCTTTAGGGGTAAATAATATACCGTACAGCTTTTGTACCTTTTTTTCTGAGTGTTTTACATAAACACTAAATGAACAACAAGATATCCGTTTTGCATACAGGCACATTCACACAGCAAGTTTCACAACTCCAGCACAATCAAACAAATGAAAATAATAACTGGTGCAACTCTCAAAACATCAGACGAGAGGAACAGTAAACATTACAACAGCTTTTCTCACGAGGAGACTGCAGATAAAAAAAGACAAACAGGAAAGAACAGAGGAGAAAAAGAGCAGGAATTTGTCAAATTGTTTTAAACCAAAACAACATAAAAAGACTAAAAATAGTGTTTAAAACAGAGAGACAAAATAGAGAACCCCACTTATTTTCTTAATTGCTTATTTTTCAATCATTCCCTTAGATTCCAAAAAAGCAAAAAGCACCTGCAATGCTGCACAGTCAAGGCAGCCTTTGTTTAAGTTAAGACTTGTTATCTGCTTTCTTTCTCCGCTGGCCTGCAATAGTTTGCATAATTCAGTACTTCTGCCTATAGTAGGCTTGATTTTGCACTCTTTGTTTCCATGTTTTTTGCATTCATTCTCTCTGCCTACGCCCTACGGTCTTGTGTTATGTAGTGTGTCAAGGTTCTGTAATGGGCTACAGAATGTTTAACCGGTTGCATTGTGTGGTATTTTATATGAAGATCGCTCAGAGCACTGAAACAACTTCCCATTGTCTTCAATCAGATGCGGAAGTTGGTGCATTTGTATTCTTCTATGTTAACAAAACTTTAAGTTGCAGTGTCATTTTTCACTTGTACATTAGGGACTAGCTGGAATAAGAAAGCAGCATGTTCTTTGGTATATTGTTGGATTTGTCTGACCATGCTGTCTGATGTCTCCTGTGCAGGTGGTTGGTGATGACCCCACTCCAAAGGACAGTGTCTGCTTTTTGGATATTTTGAATGATCCAATCCCTGACAAGCATTATAAGAAGGCGGAGGTACATACATATTCATATAAGCATAAATACATGGCAAAACAAAATCTGGGTTGGGTAAAATTCAGAATTTAAGAGTGGGCTCATTTTCATTTCATGAGCTGGAATGTGAATTGAATTGGCCACATGGCACAGGACGCTAAATTGGGATTTGAATTGGAATGGCAGGAAGAGGAATGTATGGAACAGCATCTACATTAGAGGAATTTCATCAGTCCAACACAAGTTTTCTCAAAACATAAATAAATAATTAATTTTGACTAATTATGCCTATTTATCTCCCTGTATAGGCTACATTTTTTTTTCTCAGCTCATTAGACTAAACAGAGTCTAAACTGAGTGCTGTCACATTAAAACGAACATTAAAACATGTTTTATTTTGACATACAGCAGGGGTTTTCAAACTTTTTGATGCAGAGGACCCTCTAAATATAATGATCCCCTTGAGAGAGACTCCCTTCCTAAAATATAAAGCAATTATATAAGTAAAAGACCAAATTATATTTTTGAGATAAACATTAAAGACATCAGTTGTTTTATCTAAATTATTTAACAGGCTTTATATTGGTAGTGTAATCAATCAGAAAAGTAGTTGTGATTTATCTGATTTACTTAGAAATAAAAGGCAGAATCAAAAAGTAAAAAATGTTAATCTTTCCACACTGGATTTGTTTTGGTTTTGTTTAAAAATCCCTGCTACAATTTTTTTTCAGTCACATTGTTTTCAGAAAACAATGTATGTAAGTAGCATTTCAAACACTGATTGTTAATATAATTTAATGTTTTAAATTATTTATAATAAATTTCAAATTATTATAAATTAAATGTATTATTAAAAACAACACTTACTGCAGATATAACTGCTTGTACTTCCTTAAATTTAAAATACAAATCTGTACTATGATCATCGATCAAGATTTGAATTGGAATTAAATTCCCAGTTCAGATCAGAATGGTGAACAAATTTGACTCACAAATAAGCATCAAGTGTATTGTGTTCTCCTGGTCTTTATGCCCTTACAGCAGTGCAAATGTCTTCAAAGCTAGCATTTAAATGACACAACAGAAATATGAGTCTGTGCACACAAGTACAGAAGCAAAAACCACAAGACAAGCATTGCATAAAAACCACATTCCTCAGTGTGGTCTATTTAGAGATACAGTTCGTTTGAATCTGCTGCTTTTACAGTGGACAAACAATACATCAGAGGAAAGCATGTTTCCATGTTACACTCTCAGATTCAGTCATGCACAGCCTCAGATCCATTGCTGTCATATGCCGAGTTAGGAAAAAGACAAATCCAAAGGATTAAAGTTTTCAATGAGAAAAACAGCTGAGATAAACCAAGTAAGGATGGGTGAATCAATGTTCCAATATTATATTATTATATTATATTATATTATATTATGTTATATTATATTATATTATTACAAGTTGTTAAAAGACTAAATCAATGCTAAATAGGTAAAAGTAGGAGCTAGCTAGTTTATGACCAAAAGCTGGTTTGTAGTTACTAAATGTTTACTTCCTATTAATTAAAAACAAAAAAAAACTTTGACAATTGTTACAATATAACAGTTAAATGGTTGAGCTTGATAAATGAAGTCAACATTACAATTTGCATAAATATTGAGAAAAAAATCCAATTATTCACTTATCAAGCTTTAAAAGGTTCCAAATTATGTTATTTCTTATGTCACAATTTTAAGGAAATTTTACACTTTGTAACAGGAGAAAATCATGCATGCACCAACAGGGACACATCTAAATATTACATTTCTCCTCATTAAAATTAGTTAATTATTCATAACAGCTTGTATGACAATTAACTGAATATCAATTCCACAGATCATGTACTAAAATATTTTCATTGTAAAAAAAGTCCACAAAACCACTCATTTAAAACAGTTCTGATACCAAAATATAATACTACCTAGTACTATTCGTGCTAGGTTCATTTAGGTTAATTTTAGATAATAGTTAATCAAACATATCTAAAAGGTCTCACAACCAAAAGCATAAGATTTGTGCCTCTAACGCTTTAAAAATGGGACACCACATGATCCACTGTGAAATGTATGTCCACCCTGCACAGTAATTCATGCGCAGCATGAAACACACACACACACACACACACACACACACACAGGAACAAGCAATGATCTGCTCACTCAGCAGGTAATGTGTATGTACTTAAAACAAACAGGATCTGAGCAACTGGGTGTCACAGAAAACAGGCCGGGGACCCCTAGTGGATGGTTGGAGGAACACCACTAAACCCATCATGTGCTCCTACAAGAGAGTCACCTGTAGCTTTGAGATCTACGGCTTCCAGGGACGAACAGAGGACTTCATTCACAGGGTACTGACCATAACATCCCATGCATTACATCATGCTGTTTAGTCATGTAATCCCATCATCTGTCATATTATGGCATGTTATGATTCATCATAGAACATTCGTGACATTCTGTTGGTGGGACACAGACAGGCAGTGGCATGGATTGACGAGTGGCATGGTAAATGAGATGTATTGCAATGCTTCATTACCATAATTAACCACATGCTCTGTTAAAACGGCAGTCCGTAAAATGCAAATTATTATTATTGTTATACTTTATTCTCAAATTATTAATGTTAACAACATCAGCATTGCGTGACTATTAGTATATTGTGTATTAGTGTGTAGATTTCAATTTCTGGACACAGTCTAATCTCTAATTGTCATACCATTCAAATTTCATATTAAGAAATTCTTTTAACCCAAAAGACAAATTATGCTCCCTTCGAACTGGTTTTCTTTAAAATACAAATCTTGTGTAATCCCAGGATAACTGTAATCAGAAGCACATTTATAACTGGAATATAATTTAATTTCATTCACATGTGTTTCATAAACACATAATCCTTTATGGATTACAATCCGCCATCAAATTGATACATTTAATTATTCCAGCTGCTGTGAGAAAAGGCTATAAAGGATCGGCCACCTGCAGGTTCCTCACATGCGATAGCCTAGTAGCCGGGACAACTTCTTTATGTTTACAGAAGTGACGTAATGACGCAGTGCCATGCTCGAATTTCCCGCGAAAACCTACCCCTACCACTCAAATTAGAAAACATTATTATAAGCTAACCGTTGTGAATCGGGCTAAAGTAAGGCGATAGTTTTGAACACTGGCTGGTCATGTACTTGCTCAAATATTAATTTCGGATCATTTTTAACCATAAAAAGTTACGGACTGCAACTTTAAGTACACACAAGAATCCTGATCCCTTGTTTGGTACTCGACATGTACGTCATCATCTATCTTCATTCTTCGCAAATACACAGTAAATGCATAACAAATATTTGTGCATGCAGGAATGACACTCGAGCAGGTGAGAGAGTACGAGAGAAAACAGCAGGAGGACACCAACAGCAAACTCAAGAGTGACATTACCCGCACAGGTATGCTGAAATTATATTACCAGCAGTGAACATTTTGAATTGACTTATTCATGATTTAACATCATATCAGCAGCAATGGCTATTCATGGCAAAATCAACAGTATGATTATAATATCAATACACTGTCTACATACACAGAGTCAACATACAAAAATATACATATATCTTTAAATTAACAATAATAACTATAGCAATTATGTAGAATTTTTCAATTTAATATATGATAAACATTCTAAAAATATTCCTGGAGAAACCTTTTTAAAAATGTCCATTAATATATTTCTGAATAATGCAGTCCATTCCATTATAACATTTCCAGATTCAAAATTGAAAGTGAACAGATTTTAGCCTTCCTGTAGCTTAAACAGTAGAGTGTGGCACTAGCAACGCCAAGGTCATGGGTTCGATTTCCAAGAAAAAAAGAGCAATTGATCAAATGTACCGCTTGAATACACACTTTGCATAAAAGCATCTGCCAAATGAATAAATGTTAATGTAATGTAGATTTTACAATGTGAACTCACTGTCCTCTCTCAGTGTCCACACTGCCCTCTGTTGGTGAACGTTTTATACTGCATCACAACTGTTACAGTTTAGTCAGCAGATGCAACTTCATTATTAATATGGAAGTCATCATGACTCATCTAACAACACTTTTGCAACACGTTACGCTAAATCAGAAGCACTTGTGACAAAAACTGATTTTCTTCTCTGCTTTCCAGACTCTGCTCCTCCAATGCGACCCAGCTTCACTCGCTCCATCTCTGTTACGGATGAATCGTCACTGAAAAAGATGGGGGTAAAGACTGTAGACATTCCAGGCTCTCCGTCCTGCCCTTCCTCCCTCAAAAGTCCCGTGAGATTAAACTCTACCCCGGAATAACACCCATCCTCCATCCTCACACCGCATCGACCACTGCCAGTACCAACATTTAGCAAAATTCTGGACTTGGACATTCTCTTCTAATCAAAACTAAAAAGACATTCAACATTGTAACTCTCTTGCTCAACATTCCAACTGGACATGCTTGTGTTCCATACAGAGGCTGGCATTTGACAAAAACACCTTACTGAAGAATTGTAAATATTATGTAAAAGACTCTGGCTTCTAATGAAGTGAAACCATTGTGCCTTAGTTCACGTTTCTCACAGACCTCACCAAAATGCATTGAACAAATGGTCTATTCCACTGCCTATGAACATGAAGGGGAGCACAGACGTACCTGAACACAGATGAAAAGCCTCTATTGACATAATCAATAGACTGATGCAGTGAAACCCGATCATATGGATTATGGCAATCGTGAGCGACTAGCTGAAATTTCTAGTGGTTTACTGGTTATAGCCTTTGACCCTGTATCAATACATTGACGGAACGCAATTGATTGTTTAGTCGTGCAGCACATAGCAAGAACATTATCAATAGTACTTTGTGTGATAAGACTAAAGGCTACAATGGACTAAGCATTATGTGTTATTTGACATTGATATAACACCTGTCTTTGTAAGATGCCACTGCGATATTCTGTGTTTGTCTCTGGTTATTCACATTAAAGGGGAAGTTTGTCATTTCTGCCATTAGTTGAACAAACAAGTAGCCCCACCCCAAACTCACATCATTAGTTGATATGTCAAACCATTCAGACAAACATAGGAATGTTGAAAGTGCCATATCATCACATATTTTTCATCATAAACTTTCTAAGGGATGCATGATACTCTGGTTCCACACTGGTTATTAACCTTTTTTTTTTTTTTTTCTCAATCGTCAGATATATTTAATGCTCTTTTGCTCTATTATTACATTAAGATTATCTTTGCCATCATCTAATGCTGACTTAAAGTTCAATTTTAAAAACAAATAATTTAAAAACACTGTTAAATGTAATTTCACAACTTTGGCAAATCTGAAAATTAATATACATTTTACATGAACATAATGTAGTGATCCCTAAATTCCATATGTGTGTGTGTATACAGTAGACACATTAAAAACACTATTTGAAATATTACAATTTTCTTTTTTAAAATGTAATTTATTCCTGTGATGGCAAAGCTGAATTTTCAGCAGCCATTACTCCAGCCTTCAGTGTCACATGATCCTTCAGAAATCAATATGTTGGTCCTCAACAAACATTTCTTACTATAAACAATAGTGAAAACAGCTGAGCTGCTTAATATTTTTGTGGAAACCTTGATACATTTTTTCAGGATTCTTTTATGTAGAACATTCTTTTAAATAGAAATTCCAAACGTACAGCATTTATTGGAAATCTTTTGTAAAATTATGAATGTGTTTACTGTCACTTTTGATCAATGCAAATGTTACTGACCCCAAACTTTTAAACTATATATATTCACTTTTTACAAAAATGATAATCAATTTATTGGTATTAGCCAGTTTTAATAACACTGCATCCATAGGGTATAAGTATACTTATAGCAAGTATACTTGCTAATAATTCTTCACTTTGTGAAGAGTAAAAAACAAGCATCAATAAAAAGTGACTTCGTAAACAAAAGTCTGAGCATAGGCATTCTAGGAACTGCATTTTTCATGTCATATTCCCCTTTTCTTATCACATATAATTGCAAAGATCCTTGCTGCTTCCCCTTGTGGCTATTACTATATTCATTCATTCCTAGCATTTTATTTCCTTCTTTTTATCTTTCTCACGAAGGGATGTGGAAGACAAAGATTGAATCCATGTTTCCTGAAGTCTTCTAACAGTGCTCAAATGACTCCAGGCTGTTCTGTTACAGCTCTGGCTCTCTTTCTTTCAATTTCTCACTATCTTCAGCATTCTCTCTTCCTTTCCCTTGCTGCCCCTCCTTCACATCCCAGTTTCTCTCTTTCTTTCTCTCTCAGGAGAACATTTCTGATATATAAATTTCATTAGAAAAAAGCTACAGCAATACCACTAGTGCAGGCAGAGTAAAAGATCAGCTCTCTCTATCAGAAAAGAATATACATCATAATTAAATAAAATGCCTTAATGTACCTACACAATTTTAATTTCACTTAAACGTTAGTAATATTGTGCATGATTTGATTTGTATGGACCTCTTTGAGTCTTTATTATATTTTTATGGGGGGGTTTTGTATCGTTTTAAATCCTAAACGCCCCCAATCCTCATCCACTTTCATTATTTTGAAAAGAGTGGCTAGTATATTCATCAAAAATTCACCTTTTATATTCCATGAATCTGGGTGAAAGACGAGGTTTTCAAGCATTAAAAAAAGTGTATTACACACAGTGTATTAAATTTTGGTTTTCCACATTAGAATGTGTCCTGGGTAATTTTATTTTTTTATAAGCAAAAAAAGAATGTCTTTCATATATTTTTTACCATGATTTACAGAAGACATCCACTAAAATGTCATTCAGTGAAACAATTTGAAACAATTTTATAGTGTAACAAGATTATATCCCAAAAATGTTGTCGGGCATATTTAGAACAAGAATCATTTGATGACATATTAAAAGATTATTCTATTTTAATGATCACAGCGTGCACCAAAATACTAATTAATTCATCTTTTAAATCTTTATACTTTGCCACTATCTCTTTGCCACTATGTCTGCGAGAAGGTCTTATAGGAAGTGAAAATCTTTCAAAATATAGTAAAAATTAGTATAATCACTATACAAAATGTTCAATATTTTAATAATATAAAAATAAATCTGTTACACTGAATGACGATGGTTTGTTTCACTCAATGACATTTTGCCAAAAAGGGAGAAAATACTGGTGTTAAAATGTTTTTAGTATTAGTATATACACTGTAACTGATTTTTGTAATTTGAACAGTATTATACTGTAATATGTACAGTACGATACTGTAAAATGTGTATACAGTATTTTACTGTAAACCGCAAAGGATTACGGTAAAATATACGGTCACTACTGTATTTCCTCACTACTGTAAATCAATTTACAGTAGTGAACTTGCCCTCGAAAAACTGACCAATGGCAAGGGAGTTCTTTTTTGACTGTTTGGTGGAAGTGGCTGTAAAAGGACAAAAGAGAAATGCACCGTTAACTCGACGAAAGGTTAGTATATTATTTCTGTTTTATGCAAAACTGCGATATTTTAAGATGTTTTCACTTGTTAACAGCAAACTAACATTATTCATCGTGTCATTTTTCATGTCTGGAGTTGGAGCCTTTTTTTCTGACTGACGGCCAGAATGCCGCCAAAAGGCTGATGACATCGACTGGTGAGTAAGTTAAGGTCACCTATATTAGACGAAATAAACCTTAGTTAAACCGAGAAACACGTTTGCACGTTCTGCTGCCCTTTAATGCAAGTTAGCTCCTCTGGCTAGTCGTTATTTAACCTTAACAGCGAATTAACGTGAAATACTGAGGTAAAGTGCGTTAGGCAAACCACTGTTTCAGTGGAGATTTTAAACAGTATTTTCTAGTACTTCGGTATGTTAATAATGTAATTTAGCCGAAGTTAACTAACTTAGTTGAACAAAGAGAAGCATAGTAAGTTATCTTATCTACTCTGCCTCTTTATGCAAGTAAGGTAATTCTCTTCGAATGCTATTTAAGTCAGAAAGTGTGTAACGTTACCAATGTCGTATGTAACTTTAGAGACGGTCCCTAAATTCAGTGACAGACGTAAAGTTAACATAAAACAGCGAGCTAACAACCTACTGAGGAAAACTGCAAAAACAGTACAATTTTGAAATATTTTTACTATTTAAAATAACTGTTTTGTATTTGAATATATTTTAAAATGTAATTTATTCCTGTGATCAAAGCTGAATTTCAGGATCATTACTCCAGTCACATGATCCTTCAGAAATCATTCTAATATTCTGATTTGCTGCTCAGAAAACTATTATTATTATTATGGCTGGACATGGTAAAAATCATGGTTTACAGTGCAGTACCACAATTGGATTGTTTTTTACAGGTAAACAATTTTTTTAACTAAATGAAAAACTCTACAGTACTGATACTGTAAATGAAAATACAGTAATAATACTGTAAATAAAATACAGTAAAGACATTATTGTACTGTAAATGCAATTACAGTACTAATACTGTAAACATTTTTACAGTAAATTACTGGCATCCAGCTGCCAGTAAGTTACTGTAAAATTTACAGCAACCTATTTACAACATTAAATTAGTTTTAATAATATTCCTGAGTAAATGAAAGCAGGAGCAGATATTGAAAAATAATAAGCACGCTTACAGTAGCTTGGTAGACTCTCTTTTCAGAAAAAGTGGTAAGCTATTATTCTGATTATTAAGATATTATTTTCTAGCTACTGGCTTTGCATTTACTTTTTGCAGTGCCTAGAAACTAAATCTAAAATCAGTAACAAAAAACTGCATTAAAATATTATACATTCCTCATTTATCAAATTGCTATCTATACAGTGACACTGTAATATAATGGATGACAGAGTAACAGAAAATTTGCATTACACCGTATGACAAAAACTTTACTTTGAATGACGAAATCTCTACTTCAGCATATATTGCAGGCTATCAATCTATAATCAAACAGTGAGCTTGATCAGTAAAATTAATCACAGTTATTCACAACATCTACATATTTTTCAAAATAAATCTAACGATAAGTATTTTTGGGCATTTCACCGAATGACTTGTGGTTTTGCAACTTACCACACAATGAAAAGGTGAAATAATATATTTAAGAGCAATAAATTAACTTGGCTACAGCGCCACACAGTCCTCAGGGTGCATTTTGATGATCTACAGCATATCTAGCTTCATTAATGTCATTAATATCTGACCACCTATATTATCCCAAAGTGATGAACTGCACTGAGATACAGAACATCCATCTGCACTGTGTTCCACAACCGTTAAATATCAACAGACAATACATATTTAACACTAGACATACCTGAGTGACAACAAACATCAAAGTTTCACACAGAAACCACTGTAAACTGCAAACTGGATCTCACAACAGAGCAGATGTGCTGGTTTGAAGACAGAAGACTGACCCAAGCCCTGCGAACTAACCCTCATATCAATGCCTTTTTCGTCTGTCTCTAATCATTATTATCACAATAAAGTATAGGTGGGTTAAAAAGATCTCAAGGGTAATTTATGAGCAGTAATTATATTGCAGAAGCCACCTCCAGCCGACACACGGGCACACGCACAAGCATCCCCTCCTGCAAGCAAATGTAGAGAGTTACACATGCACGCACTTACTCCCCCAAGTGGGTGGGAATGTTTGGGAGGCATTCATTGAAATTCAGGCCCTAAACATAGCAATCAGCACAACCATAAAGGACCCAAATTTAATTGGCCCACCCAGCCCATTAATTACATAGCCAGAACTGCATGCAACACAGCATATGTTCCCTAATAAAGCCCAATTGATCTTAATAGAGATGTATTATTGATTCACAAAGGTGGAATTAAACTTTTCCATATAAGCAGAGAACCCAAAAGCGCACACTGAGATAACTACATATTCACACATATAAACATAAGCTTACACTCATATACACTTGCATGTTGTCATGGACACAAACATGGGTAGAAAATTGTTAGTAGGCCTATGGTCATTATATGGGCATTATGTGGATGCACACACACAAACAAACACACAGGACATGTCATACAAGGTTCAAAATATGTCATTACATAATGAGACATCACCAACAAGCAGCCCAAAAGCCTCTCCACCCTAAACATGACCGTAATGTTTAAAATAATGAGATCCTATCCAGAAAACCAGGAAATCA